AAGACCGCCAAAGGAACTGTAGATCCCATTACTGGTTTACCTCACAACACGTGAGAGGACGATCTCCATGGTATAATGAAGTGTGGCAGAGACTAACACCACACAACGGCATTATCAGAGGTCACAGCCTTTAACGTGTTCAAGAGTACACTGACCAGGTATAGACGTAACAAACCCTATGCGTATTGTGGTCGTACAGAAAGTAGTTTATCTGAACATGTGGCCTCTTTCTCAGATATACTAACCTTCTAGAGACAATACAAGCAGATGGAATATTAAGATGTGAACACTTACAGATCCCGAGTCAATACCAAGTGTCCAGCACTTAGATGAAGATATGGACACGCAGGCCATGGGAAGTTTTAAGGTGTTCATGGAAGACGGAAATTAAGATGAGAAATTAAAAAGTCACACACGTCAATACACGTCAACAGGAGTTGTATATATTATATATATATATATATATATATATATATATATATATATATATATATATATATATATATATATATATATATATATATATATATATATATATATATATATATATATATATATATATAGGGGGGGGGACTTTTGAAGCTGGGTTTCTTTTCTTTAGAACACACACACACACACAAACAAACACATGTGTGTTTATGTGTACTGAATATTATTAACATGATGCAAGCCTGATGTGTTTCCTGTGTGTTCACTACAGCGGTCTATTGTTTACATTATTTTGAAATAGTGGCACTGTAGTAAGAATATAACGCATTCATTCTTAGAACTGCAACTTGGCTCTGCATGGGAATATCTTGTGATGAATGCTGTAATAATTGTTGTAACTCAACCAAATATTTACATTAACTGCCCCATTAAGGAATTATTGGCCTGAGAACATCATAGTTTCTCACGGTGTTTGTGAATGATGGTCAGAGGATGTGAGTGATAACTTCCGCTGTGTGGGACTCGCCGTCTGGCTGGGCTTTTCCTACTACCTCGGATTAGCATCATTTATAAACTATACAGGCACAGGCAGACCTGTTTTTACGTTGTATTTTTTAATAGTTTCTTTTTCGTATTCAACTGAAGAGTTTAAGTTATGATGCTAGGGTGCATTACAACGGAGAGTCACTCGCCACTATTTCATTATTCTTTGATTACCGTAATTTGGTCTTCTAAAAAAATTAATTTCTTCACTGAGAAATATTACGACACAGTGACTCCATTGGTGGGGCACCAGTAGTGTTCTATGTCTAGGTCTAGAGGGAGACGACAAATTGCATGACACCAGATTACTGTATATGGACGAGTATATCCTTACATAACGATACTATATTGTCTTTTGGTTACGTTATGTTACGTTGGATCATGTGATGACGTACTATATATAAGCAATTCCTGCCTTTGCTCAGTGGTCTGTATCACGCGGGAGTAAACATGAGTTGAAAGGAGCTGTTTTACTGTGGACACGAAGTAATGCATATCAGGACTTACTGAAAACATAGTGATATGTATCACAATTTAAACGTCACAAGTTTGTGTATCGCAGTGTAGTCTGTGTAGACATCACTTGTTGATAGGTATTGTGATATTAAGACTACAAGTCGATATGCATGACAGTATTGAAGATGCAGGGTGACCTGTATCGCAGTGTCGAGTTTATAAAATGTATAGCTGCACGTTACTGACTAAGGCTTCTGAGCGCTAGCCATCAACAAATCACAATTAAAAGAAATAGATACCAGGTCGCCAGCTGATGGTCAATACCTACCACAGTGTACTGTAGAGGTTGATGACCAGGTTCGAAACGAAGTTAGACCTCATTAGCTAAGTTAGATGGGAGATCAATAAAGCAACGCATGGTAAAGTCTTGTGATAAGGTTTAATATTTTAGAATGTGGGAATATGTATATCGGAGGGAAGACCTACACACAGTATTGACTAAGTACTAAGGTAGCCTCGCCTATGGCAACAACAGTGTGGTCATTTCAAATTAATCTGTTGACTATTGATTATGTCTGTAGGGTTTAGATATATTTATATATAATACCCAGGTTTAACGAACCACTTTTTACTGTTGTTTAAAATATAAATTAAGGCGAGAGGACACAGCCTGATAACAGAGATGATGATCCATGTTATAACACTACTACTACTTGCGTGAGTACTGCATCTAGACTGGACTCATGTTTCTGAACAAAGTCTTCACTGAAAATGATGAAGGTATAACAACCATTAACCTATACTTGCTACTAGATATTTACTATTTAATATTTCACGCCTATTGCTTCTGTTATCACTTCACATTTTTAATTCCAATTTTAATGTACAGTATTCATGATGTTACGATCAGGGAAGGTGGTGACAAGTGCTCCTGCATCTAATTGCCTTAGCCCTAAGTAGTGCGGAGAAATTCACTGGCGCATAATGTTCTCATCTACATGTTACCTTTGGCTTTACTCATCAAATTTTGTCATGTAACCTGTAAGAAGGGAAGACTTATTGTGAGGGTGGTGCAAGACAGATGTACAGTAGATAGTGAGAGTAAAGGCTATAAAAGAATAAGTACAAATAGCCACACGCAATTGTTCATATACAGTGCAGCACAGTAGTCAATTTCACTGTTTAACAAAGTGAATCTTCATAATCCACGTTGGTTCGCAAAAACGCCTCATTTATATTCCTTGCATGTACTGTACTGTGTATATGAGACTCGTGATGTGTAAATTATCATGTGTATTTAGTAAAGGACAGAACCTGGTGATTGATATCAACTAATGGACACCGATGTTGGGGAGTCTCTGGGATATTCACTCACTAGACTGTGTTTATGTACAGTACTTGCAAGATGTTGATGATCATGTACTGTACCTCTATTTCGAGGTACTATTGAATAACATTCGTGTGTGTGTGTGTCACGCTAAATAGGGATAATCGTTCGGTTAAGCCCTAAAACGCAACTGACGTTTTTGCCAAATTTTATGTAATGTATCACGTCTACCATTTATCCGCTAACTAGCCGTTCGAATGGTTGATCTGTTCTGTATTTCTTTGTTGCGATCTTCATTGCCCAGTCCAGTACAGGAGGAAATCGGCGATGTTTGGCAGGGTCACACTGGATAACGCCCTTCTCACAACTGACCTGGGTTGGAGACTAAACCCAGGATAGAGGCACGCGTGTTACCTATTACATGTAACTTCTAGAAATTACTTTATTAATGGTAAGATTTGCAGTTTTATTTGTTAAAGACGTGTAATATAATAAAATCACCAGCTTATAATAAAATTGGGTTAGTAATGAAACCTTTAATTTAGCACGTATTTTGATTATCTACAATTCTGTACGATTCTCCCTATATAGCCTACATGGTTAAAAATTTAAAGAAATAGAAATATCGCCATTTCTCAATTACCCCTAGGTGAAATTTTTTTTAAAGTTTCAATAGTTTCATCTCTCGGTGTCATCACTCAATGAGACAAAATAAATACTGTATTGTTGGGTATTCATATCGTTATTTGTTGTCTGACACATATGATAATAATCAAATTGGTATCAAATATACTATATACAGTATTGGTATATAGTACTGCAGTGGTTCGTCCAGCCGTCCTTCACTCTTGGTGACACAAGTATTGTGACTTTAATTATAATTTTTAACGTTATGGTGATGTGCGTCTCTTCTTTAAAATGATTGATTAAATTATAACAATTACTTTCCTTAGAACTTCTACTATATTTAGGTTAGCCGCGTCAACAGCTGTATACACTACTCGGTCGCTCACCAGCGGAATCACTGCCTTTCAACGGTGAAGATTTTTTAATATGCTCCTCTAACCCACCAAATCCACTTTGGACCACGTTTTTAAAATAATATGAGTTAGAATTCTTTAAGTTTTATTTAGCTGCGTCAGCAGAACTATACGTGTCTCAGTAACGGAGAATGTCACTTACTGACAAAGAAAAATCAATGGATGAGTGCTTCACCTTCACTATATCTGTTTGTTTTACATAACCTATTTTAATTGCCCTTTATCAAGAAAACCTCTACTGTACTCTTGATTTAAGTTTCTTCAGCAACGTTTTCCTTATTAATAGTTATTATTTCCTTTACGATTATAGTTATTTCATGTTGTATGTATTTATATGCTGTGGAGTGTGGATTATGATGGTGTCCAAGAAGGGATATAATACAGTACCGGAGAACGCCTTCACATATTCTTTGTGCTCAATTTCTATTCATTTGGTCGCTCATACAAACATTGGAATAAGTATGGTGAGTTAACAGAGTCCCTTGTGGAATTTACGCAACCAAAACAGGTGTGCGTACTCCATCATTCTCTACATTCACCCGTATTCTTTGTTATATCAGTCTTAACTGAGCGTTGTAATAAAAGATGTAACTAACGCATCACAGACGTGGTTAGGTGCGGAAATTTTGTGGGGTACATATTGGTGTTTTGGATGTGTAATTTCCTCAAGGGACTTTGTAAATACTGTATACTGTAATTGTACTATTTCAGAGAACATTTTCCGAAACTGAGCGGTATTTTGCCTGTGACCCGAGTCACTCCCCTGACACAGATCGACCCTAGTGCTGACGTTCGGTCGAGAACTTAAATACATGTCAGCTGACCAGTCTACTGTGTAAAGTGTGTTGACATGTTAGTGATGGCTCAGGTATACAGGTGTGTTACCGGTGTATTGTTGGGATGGTAAAAATTTGCAGGTTTGTTTTACAGGTATTGGTGGTGGTGGCGGCAGAGGAATACGGGTGTAGTAGTAGTAGTAGTGGTGGTGGTGGCGGTGGCAGAGGTATACAGATGTGGTAGTAGTAGTAGTATCGGTACTATTAGTAGTGATAGTGGTGGTAGTTGTAGTAATGGTGGTCGAGATATACAGGTGTAATAATAGTGTTGGGGGTGTGAGTCGAGTCTCACACACACACACACAAACACACACACACACACAAACACACACACACACACTACCTGTTGCTGTATAGCGTGACACTTACCGTCGGTGTGTGTGGCGGAGAGCAGGAGTCTTGGCTTGTGCCGGTAGTAGTCGGTGACGACGCAAGTGGTGGACGTGAGCGTGTATAGAGGTGGCACAGGTAGCAAGTGATGGAGGACGCGGGGTACTGAGCGGGCAAGTGTCGGGGCGGCCTGTGAGACTCGGGTGGACAAGCGCTATAAGACACCCACGACCACGGTAGGGGATGGGGGGCGGGGCGTCGAGCCCCGCCCCCCATCCCCCTTAACCCGCCCACTGACTGACGTCACATCTGAAAGTAAGTACATGTAGTGTATTCCTTTGAAGAGGGGGACCGGGTGGAACTTTGATCATCCACTTCTAGGAGGCACGCTATAATGATAGTATAATGACAATAATAATAATAATAATAATAATAATAATAATAATAATAATAATAATAATAATAATAATAATAATAATAATAATAATAATAATAATAATAATAATAATAATAGTCATAATAATAATGTGTTCTAGATTGAGCTTCATTTACAAGAACCAACAAACATTAACAATGGAACAGATGACCCACCATTGTCCGGCCTTCCATAGCTCCCCCTCCCTTCCTCCAGATGGTGGTTAGTCACAGGTAGTTGAGGCCCTGGGTGTGCCAACTGGCCTAAGGTCCATTTCGTGTATTCTTTGGCTCCCGTCTCCACCTCCCTTCTGCGTCACCAAGGTTCCCCCAAGACCACACATCCTCGCTTCACCCGCCCTTGCTTCTCCCTCCACCTCCAAACTATGCATCATCTACTTTACCCACGCCTTAGGATCACGACGCCCACACCTCTTCCGTCCCCCTCTACCTCCCTCTCTTGAATCCACACACAGAACGCCCACACACCTGGGACGGGACCTCCCCCACATCGTATTATCATCATCCCCGGGCTGGGGAAGGCGAAAATTAAACTGAATGGATGAGACACGAGGATGAGCGCTATTTTGTTGAGGGAGGTTGACTTTACGTGACATAAAAAAGCTCATATTGGACACCTCGTCCCTCACAAACCTTGTTGACCCCCGCCCAGGCTCCACATTCTCAAAGGTACGTACGCTCATTATTTCTCGTAGCTGACGAAGTAAAATATTAACGAACTAATTTACTTCAGTTCATGTGAAAAATACTCAAGTTTCAATGAGACTCAATCTTAAGTTCACACCGTCATGCCACACCAATTTATGGAAAAAATTAAGCTAATTAAGCAAATTTTTTCAAAGGAATCTAAAAATTAATTTTTTTCTCGTTATGGTGTTTAGTAAACATAATTAGTTGAGGTGGAGACTTGTGTGATTTTGAATTTATGCTCGAGCCTCATGTTTGGTGCTTTAGTTCAAACAACCAATTAGGTTCATTGGTACATCTTTACATACACGATCATTTAACACCTTGTTGACCTCGTCGTGACGACCATCACCACCATCACCACCATCAAAACCACCTCACCACCATTATCACCGCCAACATCATCGCTACCGCCACCAACATCATCAAAACCACCACCACCAACGTTAATGCACGAGCTACCGGCTGCAAGAGTCGAAGACTAGTACTTAACCGAAGATTATAACAGATCCTCAGTAAGAGCTGCTCATGGTGTGGTGTGCAGCTGTGACAGTCAAAAGTGTGGTAGGTAAAGGGTGCTGTGGTCAGTAATCTGGCGCTCCACTACGCCTGGTTTAACTCCCTCCACATGCCTCGATTGGCTTCCGTGATGACACTCTATCAGATAGTGAGGTCGATCGTCGTACACTAATTGGTATTTGACATAATCTCGCTCATTGTCCGGGCTGATGTATCTTAGGACATTTGAGTTTGTGCACGTTGCATATTATTTAGTTTTATATGGTGTTGGGGAAGTAGATGTGTCTGAGTACATTTTATCATGGGGTGTTTTAACTCTCCAGGGGGGAAGCCACGACAATAAACATAAGGTGGGGGCCTGAGAGGAGACAAGCAGAGGTGCCCTCACAACACAAGGCAGCAGCGCAGCAACCTGAGGTGAAGCTGCAGCAGAAATAGACAGGAGGCAGCAGATCTTAGATACGAAACTTAAAGGCGACTCAGTTTTTTAATAGGTTGGAAAAAAGAGGGAGATGGAACAAAGAAGGTAACGAATACAAGCATAACACAGGTGTAGGAGATGTGAACTCTCCGAACAATCTGCCAGAGAGTGACGTGATGGTACCGAGTGGCGCAGGTACGGAACAAACACATTCTGATTTCTGAAGTCAGTTCATGCCCAGTGTTTTACCAACAGAGCGTTTCAAAGACGTGACCGATCGTACAAGTGGCTAACAGGTCAACAAGTGGCAAAGAGGGTATAAAAGTATAACATTTATTAGTGTTCGAGTAGTGTGCTGATATTTTTCTGATAACTCTAACTTATGTACCCCAACAGTTTGGTTCTCGTTGTCCCCAAGTCTCTGCCGTAAAGTTTAGGGTTGCCATACGTCCGTATTTTCCCGGACATGTCCTCCATTTAGGTCTCGAAATCTTCATCCGGAAGGAATTTTTAAAATTCTTCAAAAGTCCGGAATTTTACCTTCCATCATTTTCTCCACGGAAAGAAACATGAAACTGTAATGACGAGAGAGAGAGAGAGAGAGACTGTGAGAGAGACTGTGAGAGAGAGGAGGTGGAAACAGTAGAGATCTTGTTCAGTTTTCGTCAGCTGATAAGTCACGTGTACGCCTGTACAGTGTTGTCAACTTAGCTGCTAACAGTTTTTGGGGTAACCTGTAGTGCCATATACTGCTTTTCCTTGTTCTTCAGCCGCGCGCATTATTATAATTTTTTTTTGTATTTAGTGCTATTACAGCCATAAATGAAATGTTGAAAGTATACCATTTTTTTCTTATGGCTTTTTTTACACTGTAGCATTTGTTTTTCTTGTCCTGCATTTAAGGCATTTTAGCAATTTTCAACCATAATCTAGCCACTTTCGCTATATTATTTACGTGTGTCGACGACTATGACGGTGACTGGTGGTTGGCCAGTTGTAGTGGACGTCTCCCCTAGAAACTGCGTAGCTGCATCCCACCTGCGACGCCTTCCCTAGCAACCAAACGAGCGGCGTCACCAGATGCTACCGTATCCTAGCAACCGAGCCAAAGACCGGTTACTTCTCGGGTTTTCCCAACATGACTCATAGATGACTCACGGCTGCTGTGTATGTTAGCTCTGTCTCTCCATTGAGATTCATTCTGGCCTCACTTCTACAACATGCAACACCTCCTCCTCTGCCGCTGCCTGGCGGCCCTCGCCTCTCCTCCGCCTGCCTGGCGGTCCTCGCTCCCGCCAGCGAGCATGGCGACTCACCAGCTGTCCTTCTCTGAGCTTCCTCACCAACCAGCTCTCATTCTGGCCATTCTACTTGAACACGCAGCACCTCTTCCAGCAAGCTCCACGCTGTCCAGCATTCATTCAACCAGGAGGCCAGCAACAGGCAACATCTTCTCTAACGAAGCTCCTGCACATCTACCTCCTTCAACACGCTACTCACTGAACGTCTCTACTGAGCAGCTCCTCACCACACGGCACCTCCAGCACCAGACTGTCTATTATATAACTTATATTATACGAGAAAACCACCTTAGAGTTTCCATCCATCCTGAGTGCTAAACAACATTATACCACGAAATCCTACACAGTCTTTAACCTGCAGTGACAGTGTTTGATCTTGGTCTTTGTTGTGGGTTTGTCGCTTGGTGCCACAGCTAGTGCTTACGATTTGTAGTACTTTTCCAGAGCATAAAACGGTCACGGCTGCATCAAGGTTACATAGCGCCAAAGTGTGTGCCAGGCGGGGGGGGGGGCACATGATGTCTTTGGGAACGTCCTCTTTTTTTATTGTTCAGATATGGCAACTTTACTAAAGTTTATCTGTTGTTTCTCTTAAAAATCCTACAGTATATAGCTTTATTGTTAGGTTGTATCTATTATATTACATTAGGTTTGATATAAGGATACTTACCATCCGTGATGAATCTCAGTGTAAAATGATGATGATAATGGAGATAAAATGGCAATGGTTTGCCATGGGAAGGGAGGGAAGAGGAAAGATAGAAAGAAAGTTATAAAACGGGAAGTAAAGTAGTAGAAAATAAGAGCAGGTGGGCTATCCACCTAGGTGAGACGATTTGATTGGCTGTGGTGATAGCCTCACCAAGAGGTCGCCCGAGCTCAAAGAGTATGGGGGGGGGGAGCTGAGCTAGCTAGCAAGGAGATATTTGTTATTGTGTTGGTTGGAGAGGTCTATTATGCCCTTGTGTAACTAGTAAAACGCTCTCATCTTTTATTTTTAATATTATGGTCGAAAATAAGGTGTGACTGGCGTGAAGAAGTTATTTATGCTGTGGTGTATAATAGGTCTGGTTCTAGGGTGCTTGTTAGTGTTGGTCAAGAAGAAGTGTAATTAAGGTGTGTTATTTGTTTACTGTTTAGTGTAAAGTTGTTCTGGCTCTTGAGGGTTATAGAGAAGGCTTTTAGGCCACCAGTTGTGTGATCTTGTGGTGTCCTCTGTCTTTAGTTGAGTATATATTTCGTCTTCCATGACTTCTAGTTTGTACTGTAGTGGACTCCTCCCCTACAAACGCCGTGTGTCGCTGACTAGCCGACCCCCTCGAATTCACCAGCCTGCACCGCCTCGTGTCTAGGTCACCAACCAGCGCTGCCTTACATGACTGAGGTCAACCATTAAGCCACGCCTACCTCCGCTATATAAGACCTCACCTCGTGGTGACCTATCTCTTTCTACCTACAGCCACCAGCAAGCAACACCTCCTCCTCCGCTCCTGCCTGGCGGCTCCCACTCCAGCCGGCGACCATGGCGACCCACAAGCTGGTCCTCCTCTGAGCACCCTCACCAACCAGCTCTCTCTACTCAACGCTTGTAACCATGCTGCCTTCCCAGCACCAAGCTGCATTGTACATCCAATACAACATGTATACAGAGAGCACATTGTGAGTTTCCTTTCTCCATCCCATCCTGAGTGTGAACCAACATCCCGTACCCCACAAATGGTGACCCCCGGAGATTCGCACTCACACAGGATGGAGGAGAAACCGATCACTCTCCCAGTCTTCAAGCAACATGGAAGACTGGCTTGTCCACACAGAGGCAGCTCTCCTCGGCTCTTCAGCTACTGTCTCTACACCG